AGCACACATTCGGCTATCTACTGGGATCCAGTCAAGCAATGTCTTTTCTGCCCTAGTACTCAGAGCTATCCCTACGCCAGCTAATCCCCGTGAACTAGCTGTGGCATCTCCTGACACCCTCAAGGTGAATTTTGAAGATTCATCCTGTTGGCCAGGTGGGGTTAGGTGAATAACCACACTTGGGTCTTGTATGCGTGTTTCTGAAACACAACATACATCAATGGCTCGAGATGCCAGGGTCTTAGCTAGTGATGCTTGTTGTCCTATTTGGCAAAGTGTCCTTACATTAAATGCTCCTATATGAAATTGGTGGCGTGGCTTTAGGAGACTATCCGTGGTGGTTTTTTGGCTTTCGTCGTTTTTAGTGGACACAGAGTGAAGAGGGAGTGAGGAGCCATCAAGTAGAGGAGTTGCATCACTGGGGGGAAGGTAAGGTAATAGAGATGAAGATGAAGACAAAGATAAGTGAGGATTAGAGAGGTTTTGTGTGCGTCTTAGATTCTACTGCTGGTCAATTCCAACCAGATAAAACAATGAAATGCTCACTAGCGACTTGCCCTATTCAAGTAGGTAGTTACCTGGGGTTCTAGTGAGAAGTCATGACCAGTAGGGTGCAGCAGGTCGGGTGTGAGGACAAATACTCGCCGAAGATACTGGCTAGTGGTCGCGCTGTGTCGCGAATCGGCAGAAGTTAGAATTCAAGGACCATTGGATCGGGTCCCAATAGCCTAATGGCATACGAGCTCGCCTTGTAACCAGAAGGTCCTGGGTTCGAATCTCGATGGGTGAGTAATGCTGAAGAGTCCCAAACTAGGACGAAACAGTTGTCCAGTACTCCCAGGTTTTCCAATGGTTCTCTATCTAATGTCAGCTCATGATGAAATCCTGTAACCAACCAACCAAATCCCTACAAACCAACACTTGAAAAACAATGTGTGTATATTCATGTACTCATGAAGTATGGAGTCACTATCTGATGCTCTGATTGAAACACGAACTTCATATACCAGTAAAACTACAACTCCCTAAAACCTATTCGCCACCATACCAAGATTCGAAGGCGTGGTTAATTGGCCTAAGCATTCGAGTTTCAGCCAACAGACTCTGGGTTCGAATCCCATGTCATATAAGACATGGCATTAAATAAATGTTGATTATCGCCTGGTACATGGGAAATTGGATCTAGACAACCAGATATTATTAATTCCTTTGTGTTTCGAGTGAAACAAACGAACAAAGTTTGAGTAGCAATGGCGTTGGCTTACAGAGTAGGGCTACTGGCAATACACCCAACTTTCCATATTTTCCAGGCTTATCACGCATAAGATCAAGCTTAGGAGTTCATTAGCCAAGAATATCAAAACCATCTAAATAAACACAAGCCAACACAACCACTTCACACAAAATCGTTCAGATCAAAAGTTCCAACAGCAAAAGAAGACAAGACCACTATCGCCTACGAAATAAATTGCATAAACGGTGATTAACACTAAATTGGTGAAAGTGGGTGTCCTCTTCAACTCAGAATAGAATATTACAAAAACTAACTGCGAAAAGATACGACATATATTCTTCAATAAGGATCCATGTAGACAACTATGGATACAAGTCTGACCAAGAAAAATGTAGAAATTTTAAACAGTGGAAACACGAAAAATTCAAGAGAATTCCTAGAAGCATGGTACTCAAACTAACCGAGAGTAAAAAACACATTACTATAGATTATTATAATATTATTACTTCCTTTAATTCCCAGAGGAACATAGGGCTCCCGCCTCACGTCTCCATCGCCTCCGGTTCTCTGATAACCTTTTCACCCCCCTCCAAGTCTGCCCACATGCTTTCATCTCCTCTTCACATGACCTCCTTCAACTCACCCTTGCACTGACGACCAACTCGCCGCTTCCCTTTCCGGTTCCACTTGAGGGCTTGTCTAGTGATGTCACTTGATGAATTCCTCAGAATTTGGCCAATCCATCTCCATTTCTTCCTGCTTATTCGCTGCAAAATCGGTTCCTGGTTGGTTCGCCCATTGCCAGAGATCCCTGTTGCTGATCTTTTCTGACTAGCCATCTGATCTTGAGTATTGAGCGACGACAACTGTTAATGAAGGGCTGTAGTTTGTTTGAGATGCCCTTCATGACGCGCTGACCAAGTCTCTGATCCATGTGGTGAGTAGCACTGACTTCACATTGGAGTTGAAAATCCGGATGTTATTTTTGATTCTGAGTGCCGTTGACTTCCACACAAACTGAAGAGTAATGAAAGCTTGTCTTGCTTTTCCGATTCTTGCTTTGATATCCTCATCAGTTCCGTCCGCCTGTAGTTGAAACGATGCTTCCCAGGTAGGTGGGTGAAGGAGGTTGTTTCTTTCAGGTTCCTCCCATTTTTGCTGACTGTCGTCTGTTGTTGTTGTTGCTGTTGGTGTTGGCCAGGAATCTTCATCACCTCTTTGATGCTTCTTCTGCCAGCTTGTTGCTTTTCACCAGCATATCTTCCAGTTTGTGGGAAATCAGACATATATCATCGGCGAAGTCCAGATCCTCCAAGTCTCTTCTTGTGTGGGTTCACTTCATACCTGTTTCCTCATCGCCCGTGGTCTGTCGCATTATCCAGTCTACTGCAAATAAGAAAATAATTGGCGATAGTAGATAGCCTTGCCTCACTCACGTCCTCACTTCGAAGGATTCTGTATGTTTCCCGTTGTGGATTACTTGGCATGCAGCATTGTCGTACAACTAACTGTTGGATGAGATGTATAATTGTCGATGGTACCGCGTAGGAGCGAAGTAGTTTTCGAATCACCTCTCGACCGACGTTGTCGAAGGCCTTTTCAAAGTCAATGAAGTTGAGATAGAGAGGTGACTGCCATTCCAAGTTTTGTTCGATGATGATCCGTAGTGTGGCGATTTGATCAATGCATGATTTGTTTCCCCTGAATCCAGCTTGTTCCGGTTATTACTACAGATAAAACTTACTAATTAATAAATGAATCTCATGACAAAAAAGTTCTAATTTCAAGTCGATAATGGTGCAAGTTAACAACCAATTGCTGCAAAGATTGTCAGAAGATAAAATTATATAATTCATAGAGAATTCTAATAAGTTCACTTCATATTAAAGCTTCTACTGAAGATATCCGGGAAGAATTCGAACGTTTTGCAATTAAATCAACTAGCTCAAAGAATACAACCAAATTAAATTTCTCCCCATTTAATGGATGACTACGTTATATTTCTTTTCGAACTGGATCGTCCCTTTATTTCTGTCATCTAAATAGAAAGCGCACAAAACAGGATGTTGGTAGCTATGATCGTTAGCTAAGAATGAAGGAACCAAAATAAAAGTCACGTAAACAGATGTGCGAAGTAACTCAAACAGCCGCATATCCTTCACGGCCAGCTGTCCAAACCCTTACACAGTCATGTGCTCATGTCTACTTAGCAAGACTAATGAATGAAAACCATCACCTGGTATAATTAAATGTCTAGGGGGAATTGTCTACATTGACGTACTAATCACGGCGTGAATCGTAAAATGTCTTTTCTTTCTATGGTTTGCCTGAAACTAATATCTTTGACAACAACTTGTTTGCAACCATAGATTTCCAATGCACTAAACATCACATACAATCTGAAACATATTATCTTTAGTGTAACGACAAGGTGGATACATAGTTACGCCATTCGTATATTCGTATTCACACATATAAACTCACTAGTAGAGGGAATAAAATTTACATGTGATTCGGAAAATGAACAAGGAGAATTAGCTATGTTAGATTGTAAAATAAAATGAATAGAAGAAGAAAACCAACGTATTCTAATAGACATTTAGCCTAATTCGTCTCATCCGTAGTTAGTTAGTTAAGTGTCTAACAAACCGAGCCATAACACTAAGTAGCACAAAAAAGACCTAAATGACGAAATAAAACAGATGGAAGAAGCGTTGGTGTTGAATAATTAACCTGTAAAATTCATTAGAAAGATCAGTAAAAGCCAAAAGCAAAATACAAATAATTGTGGAACTAGTAATGATAACATGATTCAGAGACAATATAAGTCATCCACTGTTATACCATATAAGGGGGACATCTGAGACCCTACGTAGGATTCTTAATAAAGCAGAAATTAGGGTGACATTTAAACCTACAAACTCATTCAGGCAGGGACAAGCTCTACAGGTTAAAGGACCCAGTTGACCCAATTAGACAAAATAATATAATTTACAAAATACCCTGCAATGACTGTGAGTCAGGTCAACTACATACGTTAAACTAGTAGTTCGGGGTAGTCAGAATGTTGGAACATAAGAATTTAGCCAAGGTTAGAATGGCTGACCCCGCGAAGATAAGTAATTTAGAAAAAAGCTCAGCAATTGCACTTCACGCATTAACAAACAACCACACAATAGGGCGGGTTAGAGTTAAAATTCTAAGAAGTCATCTAGGTAGGTGGAGAGAGAGGTTGATTACGGAATCCTTGTTCATCGAGTCTATACCCAACACATGCAACAGAAATGACTCCATGCAAATACCAGAAATATGGAAGATATTATTACTGCCGGTCAAATCAGGGGAGGATAATAAATAATCACAAAATTCTGTTTCAATTCAAATATATCACAACATTCTAACAAGTAACTTATTATGACTATAAAAACACTTTTCATACTTCCCATGTGATTGTAATTGGTCAGTAACACTCTTATTGTTTCTGCATGTACATTATCTCATAATGATTTTTATTCCAGTATCTAATCGATTCCACACATGTATATAAATGAAGGGAAAAGTTGTGTGAGTAACTTGATATGATTATGAGCAGTAATAATTTGTGCTCGAAACGTGGTCACATTATTTAATATTACTGTGTAACACTGTGTGATTTATCAAAATAAAATCTTATCTATAATGGAGTTATAATCTACCACAGTGCCCAAGTTTTATACTTATAACAAAAAAATTACTTGCTTTTTTCTTCCATTTTGATATTTCTTACCTGTACCAGCAGCAGTAATTGAAAGCAATGCTACACGACAGTCTTCATCACTTTGAAACTTTTGACAAACAACAGAACGTTGTTCTGAATTTGTACGACCATCAATACGTATAAAACTGATTGACTAGTAAAGTAAGAAATAAATAAAGTGGGAGTGACACCTTTGTTAGAGTATGAATAATCAAAAGGAACACTTAAATCATCACTGAATGTATATGCAACTTGCATTGAACACATAGAACACCATCACTGTTTGACGAGTAATAATAATAATACCAACAGATGGTCTGAACTGTTACAAAGCAGGCATGGAACACAGTTTGAACACTTAACTAACTTAACTAATAATTGAGAGTGTTTTAATAATGCATTAAGCATAGCTTCATGCTTCATACATAACCATCATAATAACCTTCATCTATCTAGATGTAACATGCAACCTGAGAGCAAGCAAACAAACAGACTTCGAACCTCAATACTAAATCTCACTACTAAATACAGTTAACAATTCTCGTAACTGTAAATGTAGTTGTATAAATGTGCGTAGGTCAACTACCACCGCCTCCACTAAGATGGCTGTCTGGTAATGACTTCCCTAACACACGACTGATTGACTGACGCTTCAATACAGAACATAGTACCGAAGTGCACTAGTTCAAGCTGCTACACTCCATGTTGCACACGAATGTAGACAAAAGTAAGAAATAAGATGAATTCAAAGGAATCATAATAGTAAAAATGTACTAGAATAAATAATAAAATAGAAAAGTATGATGGTCCAGTGAATATAGAAGATCACGGTGACAGCCGTCTGCTGGCCAAATTGGTAGACAGTAATTTACGTCAATGTTCATGTCCCAAATATTGGTCATGTGAAAACAAGAACAAAGACTGGCTCAACAACCAATCACGGCAAACTTTGCGTAGGCGGATACAATTAGCAGATAGATGATCTAACATTCGAGAAACAGCCACAAAGAGATGCAAGGTTAACTTTCTGTGAGAAACAACCAATCAGAAGACTGTGTTTGTCTGCTAACAATAATCTATAATAATGTACACGAAAATTTATAAATATGTGTTGATTTCCTTGATAAACGATCTGTTGCCTGGCCCTTGTCTTCTGTTGTTACAAGACTACAAACAGTAAATGCATCTTTGCCACTGAGGAAGATTTACAGCCATATCAACAATAGTTTCCAGTTACTGGTTCTTATCATCCCGAAGTTCCCAAACAGAAAGTCTAACTTAATTTAATGTTGACCCATTGAAGAGAAACACGTGTTGTAGTCATCTCAATCGATGTAACTTCACAACCTCGTCGACCGACTTTGTTTCCTTACCTAACACTCTCCGCTTAACCTCAATATCATTCACTAAATAATACGACTTAACACATGAGACACAGCGCAAACATCTGTGATCGAAGACAGATATTCTTTTACAACATCTTCTACTTTCAATGATCATATCTTACAGCCGCAAAAGGAAGATGACGAATATTGTACATGAGCAAATACACACACATACACCCACCCAGGTAACATATTCTTGTTAAACAAAGACACTGATAAAGTCTGTGATGTTGCTGAAAGAATTCAGATGTGAGATATTCACAAATCAAAGTGGAACTTCGCTTCTAATCAGGCTATGAGTCATACTTATTGTGCAGGGGGGCGATGGAGGTAATAATACTCCAGTTGATCAGATTGAGATAGGCGAAGCGTCAGTCGAACATTACACCCATTTGCTAAATATCAAGCATTTAAGTCAATAATCTACATCTCCAACTTATTTGTAATTACAGACATCAGTAAGACATGCGTTAACTGAAAAATAAATCATAACACCTTAAAAGAAAAAGGAGTCAACTAATTGTTATCAACTAATTGATTTACCTTTTCTGATAATGATTTATCCAAGCTATCAAGAACGTGTGTATGATGAGCGAAAAGCAGGAATTTACGACCACAATCAATTAAATCCAATACATATTGTCTTAAAAAAGGAAGGATACCATGTGAGAGAGAGTTAAAACCAATGAAAAACAATCAATATATGACAAGAAATAAAATGGCGTGTAAACTACTAATTACGAGATGATTGTGTGGTGGGGTCTGGACATCGTCAACCGACCGAGGTTTGAATATCCTTACAGTGAAATTTCAATTCGTAAAAGTTACCCGTATTCTGTTTCTTTTGTGTTCATTCCATGCTCTCTATACTGTTTCACAAGGAATTTTCACTTCGCCTCTTGTCAACTCAACCTGTCACTCCGCTATTCAATATTCTAGCAGAAAACATTAAACACAATACGCTACTTACAAAATTTTGTCAGTGGGACAGGACATAGTACTACCTAGCTCCTCAAACCTCTGTAAGTGGAGCAGGGTTTAGACCTGTGACCCTCTGCTTGAAAGTCGTGAGCCACAGCTCCACTCGTTGAGACTATCAGCAGTGAGTGGGTATCCGTGACTAAGTTATGAGGTAAGCGAACCACAACTCAACCACTGGATAAGAATCCAATTATTGGCAGTACAATCCAATCTAACTTAGAGAACATAGATAAGCTTAGAAGTGCCATATTCTGATGATATAAACCCAAGGCTAACGCAGTTAATATAATAGCACAGCACATTTGTCGAAGAGGAATTTGTTGAAATATAGTTGATAGTTGCCTTCACTCCATACTCAAGATAAAATCGCAAACCAAAAGGGATTAGTAACAAGGAACTCTGAGGACGAATTAACCAACAACCTATTGTTCAACAAATATGCAGAAATAAATGGAGATGGACTGGACAAACACTGAGGCGACCACCGAGTGAAATCGCTTACCAGGCCCTGGAGTGGAACATAAATTAGAAACGAGTTGAGCGTTGGTGAAATGATGACATGGAGGTGACTGTGTGAGGAGGAGATGGGAGCTTATTGACAAACGTGGAGTCAGCTAAATAGGACTGCAGAGAACTAGAACTGTTTTTTTTTTAATTTTTATTTATCTTTTTTCTGGCGTTGGTTTTTATTTATTTCTTTTTATTTTAAAAATCCTATATAATTTATGAGGTAATTAGATGCAATATACTGTAATGCACGCTGGAAATTACATACCTGTACCACAAATACCGTTTGGAATAAAGTTGTTATTATTATTATTATTAGATGAAATGGTGATGTGGTGTTGAAGCCGTGTGAGCCACGAGAAAGTCGAGTAAATAATAACGATAAGTTGACGACACAACAATTAGTTTTACAAGTGACTGACTGACTGACTGATTTCAACATAGAACTTTGCAACGATGTGCAGCAGTTCGAGTCGCCACACTTCACTTAGCATACAAATTAAGAGAAGACAGTACAAACAAATGCAAAACAGACACCATAAACAAAGATATGAGGCAAAAATAATAGTAATATGGAAGAATCATATAGTTTTATTGGGTATTATAAGTCACAAGGAGTGTATGCATCTACACCGGCCATTCAGAATGATTCTGAGCTATATCAACATTTCACTCCAGCCAATATCCGTCGGTGGCACAGCGGTTAGGACACTCGCCGACCATGCACATGGTCCGGGGTTCGAGCCCCGGCCGACGCACTCCTTTACCTCGCCAAACCAAAAAATAAAGCTGGTAAAGAGGAAAGGTCGGGCATGAGGCTAGCAACCCCATCCTGTAAAAATAAACACTGCCATAGAAACTTCAAGCCTCTAGGTTGAAGCCCTATGTTCCACTGGGGACGTAAAGGTATAAAAAAAAACTCCAGGCAATGGTGTTTAGCGTCCCTAGGACCCCAACCAGGAAGTCTACACCTTCCTACGTGGCTTAAACTGTTGTGGATTTCATTGACTGATGAAGCCATGTTTCGGTTTGACCACCACTGGCTCTTTTCCAACCTGACCCTATGTCAGCTGACATAGCCCGTCGAAGAAGGCGATCGCTAGGGATGCGTAACACATGCCCGACCGATAACTGCTACCTTGGCGTGGTGGTCGAGCTTGCATATTGCAATGACTCAACAGGCTACACTGGCTGGAAATATTGTTCCTGCAAGTCTTACTATGCCAGGAAGGTCGTTAGGATAGCGATTAGACTAAAAGCAGTTACCGGAATTGTGTCAGAATCTTTTTTACACTATGCTGGGGGTCTGTGGGCGAAGTCCTACTACTCGGGAACAGGGATGTAACAGCAGTGAGATGTTTCCCTCAGATGACTGGCATGCCAGATATTCTGTCCCTACACTATGGAGAGAGGGGGTTAGAAAAAGTCGACCCCAACAATTGTACATCCCGACCTACCCTATGGTGGTCCGTAACCAGCGGTAAATTTACTAACATGGAACCAACCCAAGAAACCAGTTCATACAGGCCGTATGTGACCGGCACCAAGCAGTTGTCCCCTGGGCCATGCGGTTACGCAACACTAACCCACTATCTCTTACAGGTACCCGAAGACTTAATCAACTTCCAAGGTGTGGGCAGCCGGGAGGTAACAACCGCCCACACACTTCCAAAAGCACTAGTAGCCTTCCCGAACATCATTCTCCTTTACCCATATCACCTTCATCATCTTACTTCCCTACTACAGTCTCATAAGTAGTTTCTATGACTACTGCTATTGCTATTATCAGTGGTTAGGAAAATAATATCGACCTCTTAGAAAATTTTACGCAACAACAGTCCTGATTTTACCTATTAGTTGAAAATAAAATCAACTGTACTTCAAAGAATAATATTTGCACATAATAAAACACTAAAATAAATGAATAAATATTTTGTATAAAAATGCTTACTCTACAGCTGCCAGCTTTACTGAACCAGTTGCATGAAAATATTCAAAAAGTGCTGAACGCTTTTCTTTACTCTGTTCATAGAAAAAGACAGAGAAGGCGGAAAGTGAATTAGACCCTCAATAAGGAATATGTTTAGAAAAAAAAACAATAATTACTGCACACAAACTTACAGATAATTTATTAGTCAGCATTGTTTTAGCATGTCTGTCAAGGCTGCCCTTCTTAATTATATTTGGGTCAAGTACAACCAGTTCACGACGTTTAGCTGGCAGTTGTGACAATACATCAGTCTTCACACGTCTACAGGAAAAAAAAAGGTGGTTAACACACAAGAGAATAATTTGTATATACTGTTGATCAGCATAAGTAGCTGAAAACTATTCACGTCAAATAGTAATGCTTGATAGTCAGAAAAGAAAAAAGCAATAGGCTCGACATGGAATGAACGGAATGGAAGTGTGCAGTTTAAACTATTGCTTGATGTGAGTGGTTTCCAACTAAGTAGGTCACAATGCCCTTACACTAATTCGCAGGCTCTCTCAACTGATGTTTGCAGTATTAAGCAGATCACATATTCTGATATAATTATTCTAGATTTCCAAATGAAATTCTCACCTTGAAAGGAAAATCCCCTGAGTTTTACTCAATGTCTAAAAGAAGTGGGGTTGTTAAAGCTGGATGAAAAAGAGCTTATTTCTAAAGCACTGTTCGCAATTGAGGTGGTGACACAGTGGATGATGGCAAAATTAGACTCAGTATGATAGAAAAAAAAGGCAAATCATTGAGGTTTTACAAACTACACCAAATAAGAAGAATGGAACATCCAACCACGACAGAGAAGGTTAACCAGAGTATGATTGCATTGAAACGAATCCAAGACCTACCGCATTAGGATTTAATAACATTCTAAGTCATATTTTAACCCAACCATAAACAGCCTAATGTTCAAATATAAATACAAGTAAAACGTAAAAATATGTTTAAATGTTTAAAATGTTTCAATTCCAACAGTGGTGTGAGCACGTGCAGTAACTTTGCTCGAGATATTACCAATAACAAAACTTATCATTGTGTGTAAACTATTGAAATATAATTATTATTTAATGTTTAAATAACTTCTTCACCATCTGAGAATAAAAACATTATAACGTAACTAACTACTTATAAGTAGCTAGTACATCACGAAAAAATAATATTGCATAAAAGCGGTTTCTTACCGTATCATGATTGATCTCTCTAAAACCAACTGTAACTCAGTCATATTTGAACAGCCTGAATAATCCCAACCCCAAGGACATTCTTTAGCTGCACAATACCGTAAGCCGAATTCATGAAAACCACCTCGAAAGAGATCAGGAGCAATGGCAGAGATTTGAGGGAATAATTCAGCCGGTCTTGACATAGCTGGCGTACCAGAGAGGAGTAGAACTCTTTTAGCCCACTGGAAGAAAATCACAGGAAAATGTCACTAAATACATGCAAATTTGATACGAAAAGTGGAATTCTAAACCCAAGCTTTCTAAAAACATAATTGTCAAATATTGTCTATATCTCTGTCGCTGGTTAAATTGCTCCCCAAATTGAATAAACGAGATATCGAGGTTAGGAGTGTTGTGCAACAGTGCGCTCAGATTAGAAGACAGGAATACGTCAGACTGACAGTAATCATTTAGAAGATCCTGACTTTACGGAGGATTTATGTCTAATTTCACATAAACCTGACGATATACATGTGAAAACCGAGAAACCGACAGCAGAAACAGAAAAGACAATATCAAGTAAATACATAGAAGGACAAGGATAACGCAGATACTTAACCACCATCAACAAGAAGCACCAATCATCGACGAGAAAAATCTAAAGGAAGTCACACTTCCTTCACTTATCCAGTCAGCATCGTCGCAACTACAGACGGTACAATGAGTAAGTCAAAGCCAGTGAGGATCAGAGAAGCAAGACAGACTTTCATCACTCTGAAATCAGTGTAGGACACTGCTGTGCTCAGCATAAGGGACAAGAATCAGGTCCCTAACACAAATGTCAAGTAAGTTCTTCTATATAGATCAGAGACTTCACAAGCGTGTAACCAAAAGCATTTCCAACAGGCTTTAGACTTTTGTCAACAGCTAACTTCCCTCGATATTGAAGGATTAGCGATAAATACTCTAGTAACGAACCATCTAAGAAAATATTGCCTAACAAATACTTCAAAGAAATACAGATGGATGTGAAACACGCCGAGGCGACCGTCAAGAAACACCACGTTCAAAGCTCCTAGATGAACTAAGGTGGAAGACGATCAGTTAGGCTGCGGTTCGACGATGACACGAAGAAGATAGTGTGGGGAGGAGATGAGAGCCTATGGGAAACAGTGTAGCCAGGTAAAAATAATTACAAAGAAAAGGATGAAATGAAGATGTATGGTTGAAGCCATATTTTCCACTCAGAGCCTAAAGGAATAATAAAAATAATCCCATGAGCAATGTTGAGTATTGAAAAAGACAGGTGAACTAGTTGTAAAAGCTACATAACGTTCTGAGCCCAAATAAAACAGTGGTAGCGTCTCTCACACCACTTTCTTACGGGTTATAGATACTCTTTTCTGACGGCTATCAAGTAAGTAACAAATCCTAGGTCCAACGCTTTCTATCAATAGGTTCTGATCACCTAACATATTATTGCTTCTGATGTGGTTGAGTTCTTTGAGTTCGTTGACGTAATTATGTAGCTTTCATTGTCCTGCTAAACAATATCTTCAGCCCAAGCTTTAACATGAAATGAACTTATTTGAATACTCTATGAATGGTATACTTGTTTCGCCTGACAACGTTTGTCACTGATTGGTTGCACCAGTATTCATACTTTTAACTGACTTGGAATTCAACTTATTCTTCATTAGTTGGTACATTTGATGGTAAGTAGTGTGTCTATTAATCATCGATTCCTCTGAGTACCAGGCAATATTATCTAAGATAGGGTTTTGATGTCTAATGACCTTACAAACCACAAACGACCGAAAGCTGCTACCTTGACGTGGTGAACGGGCTTGAACACCGCAATGACCTAATCAAGCTATACTGGCTGAGACTTATGTCTCTTGAGGTCCTACCATGCCAGAAAGGTTGTTTGGATAGCGGTTAAACAAAAAGCAGCTACCCAATCCAACATCATGATCAATACAAAATCACAAAATTTCATGCCGGATCGGCCGTGGCCCGGATTAACAACGACCACGCTTCCTGCTGCCGTGTCACAGGGTAGGAGTGATAAATATGCTACTGAGAAACACAAAACAACCACGGTGTGGGCAGCCGGGAAGTAACAATCGCCCTCACAATCCGAAATGCACACGAAACCTCTCGAATCCTCACTTATCTTTGTCTTCATCTTCATCTCCATTGCCTTGCCTTCCTCCCACTGATGCAACTCCCCTACTTGATAGCTCCTCACTCCCTCTTCACTCTGTGTCCACTAAAAACGATGGAAGCCAAAAAACCACCACCGACAGCCTCTTAAAGCCACGCCACCAATTTCATATAGGAGCTTTTAATGTTAGGACACTTTGCCAAATAGGACAACAAGCATCACTAGCCAAGACCCTGGCATCACGAGCCATTGATGTATGCTGTGTTTCAGAAACACGCATACAAGACCCAAGTGTGGTTATTCACCTAACCCCACCTGGCCAACAGGTTGAATCTGCAAAATTCACCTTGAGGGTGTCAGGAGATGCCACAGCTAGTTCACGAGGATTAGCTGGCGTAGGGATAGCTTTGAGTACTAGGGCAGAAAAGACATTGCTTGACTGGATCCCGGTAGATAGCCGAATGTGTGCTGTCCGCCTGAACGGATCAGTAAGAAGGAGGAAGGACTGCACTACTCGCCGATGCCTTTTCGTAATCTCCGCCTACGCCCCCACTGACTGCAGTTCAGATGAAACGAAGGATGAGTTCTACCAAAAGCTGTCTAGTTTGGTGCGAAAGGCTAAACGCTCAGACATAGTCGTTCTAGCTGGTGACTTTAACGCTCAAGTAGGGAAATTGTGTCAATCTGAGAAGGATGTCGGTGGCACCTATGGAGTCCGTGCCAGCGAACCGACAACGGTGACCGTCTCCTACAGTTCTGCTCTGATAATCATTTGTTTCTTGTAAGCACTAACTTTAAACACAAGGAGAGACACTGTTTGACTTGGAGACCCCCTTCATCAAACCAACGCTGGACACAAATAGACCACATAGCAATAAGCTATCGTTGGCGTGGGTCGGTAGGAGATTGTCGCTCCTTCTGGAACACGTGCGTAGATACCGACCATGCACTGGTCCGCGCTCGTGTGTGCTTACGACTGAACGGACGTAGGAAACAGCTGGCGGTAAAACCATCACGTCCCCAGCTCGATCAGGAAACTAAATCCGTATTTGAGGAAGAACTAGCTAAACACATATCTGTGTTCGACAGCTGTGCTCACCCTGAAGAAGCTTGGAAAAATATCCAGGCAGCCATAGATACAGCTGTAAAAGCTGTGAATAAGGTAAACCCAAAGGTGAGTAAAAACCACTGGATCTCCACCGCCTCATCCGAACTGATAGATGCTAGAAGACTTATTCCGGCGAGCTCCGAATTCAATGAGGAGCGAAAGCTGCACAAGAGGAAACTTACGAAAAGTCTCCGCAAGGACCGTGAACAGTGGTGGGTGACAAAAGCCAAAGAGATGGAGAAAGCTTCGAGGATAGGCAACACCAGGCAACTCTTTAGACTCATCAGGGAAACGGGTGGGAGAAGACAAATCATCAGTGAGACAATCTCGGAAAAAAATGGCACTATAATTAGCTCCCAGGATAGACGACTGGATCGTTGGAAAGAGCATTATGAGGAGCAGTTTAATTTGCCCACAGCCACGCTCAACCTTCCGAGCATCCAACACCTCCCTGAATGGGATATAAACACAGGTCCTCCGTCACTAACTGAGGTTACTAAAGCTGTCACCAATCTGAAACTAGGCAAAGCAGCGGGACCTGATGGAATGACTCCAGAGGTATTTAAGTACGGTGGAGACAGCTTACTGTCTGGATTAACTGAGGTACTAGGCAGCGTCTGGGAATCAGAAGAAGTCCCATCGGGTTGGTGTAAGTCACTGATTATCCCCATATACAAGAAGGGAGACAAGTCTTCCTGTGATAATCACAGAGGGATTAGCTTGACTAATATAGTATCTAAAGTCTTAGGCTCAATAATCATGCGTAGACTGAGTGGTGCTCGGGAAGCACAAACACGAGAGAGCCAGGCAGGCTTTAGACCAGGAAGAGGGTGTATTGATCATATCTTCACCCTCCGACAGATTCTAGAACATAGGCATTCCTACCGGCGTCCAACAGTCATTATATTTCTTGACCTAAAGGCAGCATTCGACTCTGTCGATCGAGAAGTTCTCTGGAGATGCTTGGCTGTAAAGGGAATTCCGAGAAAATATATTGCACTGATTAAGGCACTCTACTCGTACTCATACAGCCAGGTGAGGGCTTACGGCGAGCTGTCATCTGAACTGATGACCAGTGGTGTCCGTCAAGGATGCCCATTATCCCCTTTTCTATTCAACTTCATCATAGATGTGTTAATGGACTTAACCCTAAGTGACTTCAGCGACTCAGGGATTGACTTGCTACCGGGAATAATCTCGTTGACTTGGAATATGCAGACGATATAGTCCTTCTAGGCGAAGACGCTGACGAAATGCAGAGTCTTCTAAACACCTTGAGCCGCAATCTACGAATGTTTGGCATGCGATTCGCTCCCGCCAAATGCAAGATGATGTTACAGGACTGGACTACATCGACGCCTAGTTTAAAAATAGGAAGTGAAGTGGTAGAGCACGTTGACCGCTTCACTTATTTGGGAAGTACCATCAGCCGCCAACGGGTTGATCTCTGACGAAATCTCAGCACGAATACAAGGGGCTCGTTTCGCATTTGCCAGTTTACGCCGACTCTGGCGTAGACGAGATGTTCGACTATCGACCAAAGGGCGGGTGTACTGCTCATCAGTCCGCTCCGTCCTCCTTTATGGTTGTGAGACCTGGCCACTGAGAGTGGAAGACATGAAAAGACTAGCTGTCTTTGATCATAGGTGCCTGCGTTCTATCTCCCGTGTAAAGTGGCATAATAAGGTGAGCAATATTGAGGTTAGGCGTCGAGTCCTAGGTAAGCAGGGGAAATCAATCGACGAAGTTGTGAAGGTACATCGACTGAGATGGTTAGGACATGTGTTACGTATGCCTAGTCATCGCCTTCCTCGACGAGCAATGTTAACTGATATAGGGTCAGGCTGGAACAGAGCTAGTGGTAGTCAAATCAAAACATGGTTTGACCAGTCAATGAAATCAACAATAGTTAGTCTAAGCCACATAGGAAGGTGTAGACTTCTTGGTTGGGGTCCTTGGGACGGTAAAAACCAATGGTTGAAAACAATTTGTGATATGGTTCAAAATCGTTCTCAATGGCTGGTGGAGATGCATCCACTCCTTGTGACTAATGATTTCCAATGAAACTGTTTTGTTCTTCGTTACTACTCTTCCTTTGTCTCACACCTCTACTTACTGTCTCTATTATGCATTTCTTGTACTTTCTTCTCTTGCTTCGCGTACTACACGGAGTGTGGCGACTCGAACTGCCGCACATTTGTGCAAAGTTCTATGTCGAAAACAGACAAACAGACAGATTTGTAGATAACTTGTTATCTGCTAAACATGCCGGCCGATAACTGCTACCTTGTCGTGGTGGTCGGGCTTGAATACCGTAATGACCCAACATGCTAAACTGACTGGGACTCACGTCCCTGCAGGTCAGGAAGGTTGTTTGGATAGTGGTTAAAATAAAAGCAGTTACCATGGGGTACATGCGCTCCAGTATCCAATTGGATCAAATGGCGTATGAACCCATATGGGTCACCGGAAACCATGGGAATCCAGCTCCTGATGCTGCTCCGCTGCCTTGCGGATTAGACTCCAAGTCAAAGGCTCGGGGGCTGGTCCCTCAATAAAAACCACCTGCTTCGGTCTGGGCGCCCGGGCAGTATCTCAGCCCTCACACAATGAATTGAATGAAGCAACAAACAATCAATGAAACTTATCTCGCCTGCTATTACACGTGTTGCAATACCCTTCTTTCTTCCCTTCCCGATGATAGTTAACGAATACTGTTTGAACCTGTTAAGTATGACTGTTTTCCTTCCAGATGAAGTTCTTTATCCGTTCTCTACTTATATATATATTTTTTTTTCTCTTTTTTTTCTTTTGATCTATATTGTTTTATTATTATTGTGTGGCGCATCCTTCTTGGTGCCATATTGTACCACGTTTTTATGCGTTTAAATGAATAAATAGTAAATGCTAAACATGCTATAATTAAAACGACCTAGGTAATATTTCATACGCTTTGCAGAACAGTATTAAACTACCTACTTGGTTCTCAACAATTCAGGAATTATGTATGATTTCTAAAGAAATACAATAGTTATAAGGAGTTAGAAAAAACAGACAAACAAAAATCAGGTCAGCAGAAAGGAAAAAGGTTGTTACGATGATAGTATGCATAACTCCGGTTTGAATCGCTGGAGCTACAGCAATGCACAGGAGACGACTGTGTATCGCCTTTGACAGGTTGTTTTTTACTTTGTAGATAGTCTTCTTGAACCCTTTTCGGATAGGACAGGCGTGGAACGAACAATTTACCCAGCTTCACAAGAATAAGTGAACTGACATATGCACAGTGAAATGGTCAGCTATAAAATCTTATCGTCAAAGCTTCTGAAGATCAATGGATGTGTGAAGAACACTAGTTTTGGCGTTGCTCCTCTTATACAACGAATAATATTAACAACTATGGTTGTGACAACTCATCACCATTGTTGCTACACCTTTTCATGAAAAATTCTACATAAAACAAATTGTGTAGATACAGAAAACAGATTTGTGAAGGACAGCCTCTTCACTGAACTACGTAGTTGGTTTTCAGTAATTATATAACTGTTATCATTTCACGACGACATCCGTCTGTCTGTCTGTTTTCGACATAGAACTTTGCACATATGTGCGGCAGTTCAAGTCGCCACACTCCGTGTAGTACGCGAAGCAAGAGAAGAAAGTACAAGAAATGCATAATAGAGACAGTAAGTAGAGGTGTGAGACAAAGGAAGAGTAGTAACGAAGAACAAAACAGTTTCATTGGAAATCATTAGTCACAAGGAGTGGATGCATCTCCACCAGCCATTGAGATCGATTTTGAGCCATATCACAAATTGTTTTCAACCATTGGTTTTTACCGTCCCAAGGACCCCAACCAAGAAGTCCACACCTTCCTATGTGGCTTAGACTAACTATTGTTGATTTCATTGACTGGTCAAACCATGTTTTGATTTGACTACCACTAGCTCTGTTCCAGCCTGACCCTATATCAGTTAACATTGCTCGTCGAGGAAGGCGATGACTAGGCATACGTAACACATGTCCTAACCATCTCAGTCGATGTACCTTCACAACCTCGTCGATTGATTTCCCCTGCTTACCTAGGACTCGACGCCTAACCTCAATATTGCTCACCTTATTATACCACTTCACACGGGAGATAGAACGCAGGCACTTATGATCAAAGACAGCTAACTAGTCTTTTCATGTCTTCCACTGTCAGTGGCCAGGTCTCACAGACATAAAGGAGGACGGAGCGGACTGATGAGCAGTACACCCGCCCTTTGGTCGATAGTCGAATATCTCGTCTACGCCAGAGTCGGCGTAAACTGGCAAATGCGAAACGAGCCCCCTGTATCCGTGCTGAGATTTCGTCAGAGATCAAACCGTTGGCACTGGCTGATGGTACTTCCCAAAGAAGTGAAGCGGTCAACGTGCTCTACCACTTCACTTCCTATTTTTAAACTAGGCGTCGATGTAGTCCAGTCCTGTAACATCATCTTGCATTTGGCGGGAGCGAATCGCATGCGACGACATCTGCTTTGAAATTAATTCTAATCATTATAAAATTCAAAATTCGACAGTCAAAAGAAAGGGTTTCCATAATAAATGTATTGATGAATAGTTATTCTGTAATCTGATATCAGCTCAGTGTCAGTACCTGAGATTAATACAGTTTTTCGCGATCATCTAATGAACTAACGCATTCTAATAGCTATTTAGACTTTAATTTATCTCATTCGTTGTATGTATAGGCTGGCTTATTTAAGTGTGTAACAAACCAAGCCATAGCACTAAGTGGTACAACAAAACACCTAAGTGATGAAATGAAACAGATACAAGAAGTATTTGTGTTACATAACTATCCTATGAAATTCATTAGGAAGATCGATCAGAAAAGGCCAAAAACAAAATAAAAATTAATTGTGAAACTAATAATGGTGAAATAAATAGGAGAGAATATACGGTATCTACAGTTCCAACATATAAGGAAGAGGCATTTGAGACCCTACGTATGATTCTTAACAAAGCAGCAATTAAAGTGACATTTAAACCTAAAGACTCACTCTCAAGGTGGACAAGGTCTGCAGGTTAAAGGACCCAGGTGACTGAATTAGACAAAATTAGAAAATTTACAAAATACCTTACAATGACTGTGAGTTATTTCAACTACGTAGGTCAAACTAGGAGGTCAGGGGTATTCAGAATGTCGGAACATAAGAATTTAGCCAAGGTTAGAATGGTTAACCCCACGAAGATAAGTAATTGAGGAAAAAGCTCAGCGACCGCACAGCATGCATGCATTAAAACACAACCACACAATAGGGTCAGAGAGGGTAAAGATTCTAAGAAGTCATCTAGGTAGGTGGAGAGAGAGGTTGATGACTGAATACTTGTTCATCGAGTCTACACCCAACACGTGCAATAGGAATGGAAAATACCACTAACAAACAAGTCAAGTGGCGAAAAATAATGGGACTATATAAACGAAGTTAGAACGTTGTGTGAGTACCTTGATATGATTATGAGTGACAATAAATTATGCTCGAAACGTCGTCATCAGTAAATATTACTGTATAACACTGTGAAACTTTATCAAAATAAATTTTACCCACAATGGAAATATACTCTACCACAGTGCACAAGTTCTGTTCTTATATCAACCCAAACATCTCCAAAATGGAGATGTTTGGGTTCATTTCGGTTAGTGTTCAACTGACTAATGAAATCTATAGCGTTGTTTTCGCCCACAAATTGACAGCTAAAATCACGTTGAAAGCCCTAAAGATAAATTCTAAAGCTCAAAGAGCAATAGAGCTGTCAGAACACATGAAAAGTAGCAGCAAGGGAAAAGGTTGTTGTTAAAAAAATTCTAAGATTTACGGTGCAAATAGTCAATAGATTTCCAAACCAGTTAACAGTTTCTGTTTCATGGTTTAACTTAACTCTTCATGCATACTGTGTTAAGAGATTTTGTTAATAAGTCAACTCCTGTTTAATGAATTTGCCGTTTATTCAACTTTTAACTGTAATTATTTACATATAATCCCCGGCAAACTGATACTCACAAAACCAATTCCACTTTTCATACTATTTTATTGGAAATTCACCAAATGACAGATCTGTCACTGATCGACAGACTGGTTGGGTTTCAACACAGAACTCTGCACAGATGTGCACTAATTCAAGCTGCCATACTCTACACAGCACACAGAGGTAAACGGAAGTAAGAAGAAGAAATTCGGAAGAACCACAATGAGCGGAAATGTGACTAGGATAAAGAAGAGTAACATGGAAAAATTAAGAGGATTTAGCGGATTTTGGAGACCACTAATAGTGCATGCATCTACGCCACTGAGAACAATTTTGAGCCATATCACTGACAGTCTCCACCGATTGGTACTTATGGCCCTGAAGACCAAAACCAGGCAACTTACACTTCCCTCGATGCTGGCTCAAACCAAATGTCAAAGACTTCGAGGACTGATGATAGGTTTTGATTCGATCACCCCTAACCCTTTTCCAACCTTATCAGTCAAGGAAGGCAACGACCAGGGATGCACGACACATGTCTTAATCATCTCAATCGATATAGCTTCACAACCTCATCGATTAGCTTCTCTTCCTTACCTGATAGTTTACGTCTATACTCAACATTATTGACCATATTATATCACTTAACACCCTAGGCAGAATGCAAACATCTGTGGTCAAAGACAATTAGTCCCTTCAGATCATCCATTTTCAATGGGTATGTCTGACAGTCATCAAGGACAGAGCAAACTGCTGCACAGTAGACATATCCTTCGATCGACAGGTGGATATCACGTCTACACAGCTGAACATCACACACAAATTATAACTCACCTTTAAAATTGGTGTAGCAGCCTTTGTTCGAGCAGCTTTGATATTTTTTAGAAAATGCGACTCATCCTAAAAATATGATAGATAACAGAAAAAATCATAAAGAGTATTAAGCAAGTTCAGAAAGACGATCAAAGACATAAAGAACCACTACAAATAAACACAATAATTTAGGATAATGCTTTATGCTTTTCTATTCAGGAGTTTTTGTAGACAATGTATTACTAATAATTTTTTAAGTAGTACACATCACAAAAAGATATATACTTTTTTCAACAGCTACGATGTTAACTGTGAAGTGTAAGGAAATTAAATATACTTTAGTGTGTGCGATTTAAATATAATTTATAATTACAAATTCCCATAACTTGGCAGGTTATATATAGGACACGTTCTTGATGCAGCAGGCTATGATGATGCTATCTAGCTGGCTAGAATGAAATAGTTGAAGCAGGACTTAAACCTCGGACCTACTGACTGAACGTTGGGAGCTCAAGTCAACTAGAGCCACATTTTCATAACACAGTGATGTGAATGAAGGTCTAGTTCTGTTCAGGTGGAAGAAAACACTCATCCACTGTTGAATCATTATTATACAGTTCCTAAAACTTTGAGTATTCTACATCAACTGACATGCATAAGCACACTTGACCATCAAACTCCAAAACTTGATCAACTTAACTGTTGGCTTTGGAGAGTACACTATAAACTTTATCGTACTATTATTATTTATTCCTTGCATGTTGGCGTGAAACATAAGGCTTGAATGACATTCAATTCTCAGTCATCACCTTCAACCGCTACCATGACTGCTGCTCTCACAGGCTGTTGATTTTCAATAATTCCCTAGCACTACCAATAGCATCTTCTTTTACTTTAACTTCCCATAGATCTACAAAGTAATGATTTTCTATCCCAGTTGTTTGATAGGATTCAACTCTCTTGGGTAGAGAATTTCAATGATAAGTCAACAAGCACAAAACTATCTTTACGATGGGAAATATAGTTTCTAACTGATTACCTTCAGTGGACACAAAAGTGAATATTGTTATAGAGTACAAAGAAATTCGATACTCAGTGATCGATTTGACAATCTTTTGAAGTAGCCAATCAAAGTTATATCGGACTAATTCATATAGAAAACAGTACAGATTATTGATATAAGGATAAAACTTAGGCACTCTGGTAGAATATAACTCCGTTATGGATAAAATATTACTGTATAATACTGTGCGATTTTATCAAAATACAAATTTTATTCATTATAGAATACAGTTTATTCTTTAGAAAAGCACATTTAAAAAGGCGTAAAAACACCAAACAGGACACCTATTCTAAAAATAATACATGAATCACTTACACCATTATTTAGTACGTGTTTTGTGTGAAGAAAAGAGCTTATAAGCTTTTTTTAAATCAGTTAATAAACAATAAATTATAGCCGCAGTTATTATTATTATTATTATTACTACTACTGTGTACTGCCGAAGAGTCCCAAACTAGGACGAAAAAGTTCCCCAATGCTCCCAGGTTTTCCAATGGTTCTCTAATCAATGTCAGCTCATGATGAAATATGTAACCTATTATTATTATTATTATCACATATTATTTATTTATTATTCACTGTATCGCATTAACTTTCAGTTTTCGCGGAAAAATTATTTTTTAACCTTTTTTAAGCATACATATATACTTATAAATGTGCGTCAGTGGTTCAGCGACAGGACGCTCGTCAACCAAGCACGTAGTCCGGAGTCCAATCGCCGACCGACGCACTCCTGAAAAACCTCGCCTAGCCCGTAGTGAGGCCAGTGAAGAGGGAAGGTTGGACGTGGGGCTAGCAACTTCACCCTGTAAAAATAAAACCACAGCTACCGAGACTTCAAAACTCTACCTTGAAGCCCCATGTTCTATTCGGGACGTAAAAGAATTATATATATATATATATATACATATATATATATATATATATATATATATATATATATGTATATCATATCGTTTAATTCCTAGAGGAACATAGGGCTTCAGCTGCGCGTCTCCATTGCCTTCGGTCTTCTGTCAACCTTTTCACCCCACTCCAAGTCTGCCCACATGCTTTCATCTCCTCTTCACATGACGTCCTTCAACTCACCCTTGCACTGACGACCAACTCGCCACTTCCATTTCCGGTTCCGCTTGAGGGCTTGTCCAGTGATGTCACTTGATGGATTCCTCATGATTTGGCCAATCCATCTCCATTTCTTCCTGCCTATTTGTTGCACAATCGGTTCCTGGTTGGTTCACCCATTGCCAGAGATCCCTGTTGCTCATCTTTTCTGACTAGCCATCTGATCTTGAGTATTGAGCGAAGACAACTGTTAATGAAGGGCTGTAGTTTGTTTGAGATGCCCTTCATGACGCGCTGACCAAGTCTCTGATCCATGTGGTGAGTAGCACTGACTTCACATTGTAGCTGAAGATCCGGATGTTATTTTTGATTCTGAGTGCCGTTGACCTCCACACAGACTTGAGAGTAATGAAAGCTTGTCTTGCTTTTCCGATTCTTGCTTTGATATCCTCATCAGTTCCGTCCGCCTGTAGTTGAAACGATGCTTCCCAGGTAGGTGGGTGAAGGAGGTTGTTTCTTTCAAGTTTCTCCCATTTATGCTGGCTGATTTTTGTCTGTTGTTGTTGCTGTTGGTGTTGGCCAGGAATCTTCATCACCTCTTTGATGCTTCGTCTGCCAGCTTGTTGCTTTTCACCAGCATATCTTCTAGTTTGTGGGAAATCAAACATCTATCATCGCGGGCGAAGTCCAGATCCTCCAAGTCTCTTCTTGTGTGGGTTCATTTCATGCCTGTTTCCTCATTGCCCGTTGTCTACTGCAATCAGGAAGATCATTGGCGATAGTAGACAGCCTTGCCTCACTCCCGTCCTCACTTCGAAGGATTCTGTATGTTTCCCGTTGCGGATTACTTGGCATGCAGCATTGTCGTACAACTAACTGTTGGATGAGATGTATAATTGTCGATGGGACCCCGTAGTAGCGAAGTAGTTTTCGAATCACCTCTCGGTCGACACTGTCGAAAGCCTTTTCAGAGTTAATGAAGTTGAGATAGAGAGGTGACTGCTATTCCAAGCTTTGTTCAACGATCATCCGTAGTGTGGCGATTTCATCAATACATGACTTGTTTCTTCTGAATCCAGCTTGTTCCGGTCGAAGTTTTTCATCCAGGGCTTGTTTGATTCTCTCCAAGATGATGCGGCTTAGTATTTTGCTTGGAATGGACAGCGCCAGTTTTTGCATTGACTTAAGTCTCCTTTCTTTGGTAGTTTGAATAAGTATCCTTTCTTCCAATCCTCAGGTACTTTGCCCTCTTTCCACACCTTCTCCAGTAATGGCGTTAACAAGTCCGCTGTTGTCTATGGGTCCATTTTCAATGCTTCTGCTGGGATTCCATCTGGTCCTGCTGCTTTCCCAGCTTTCAGCATCTTGATTGCATTCAGGACTTCTGATTTCGTCGGGGGATCAATGTTCACTGGTACTTTTGCTTCCGTTGTTGGTATTGTTGTGCGCGTTGTAGGTGGTGGTCGATTTAGAAGTCTTTTGAAGTGTTCAGCCCAGTGTTTTATTTGCTCCACTTCTTTGGTTATTGACTTTCCATTGTCATCCTTGACTGGCTTAATCTGTGTCTAACTTTCACCCGATAGGTGCCTAGTTGTTTGGCAGAGTGTGGCGAGGTCTCCTTCGCCTGCAGCTTGTTCTGCTTCACTTGCCATGGCTTCATAATATTTTCTTTTGTCTACCCTGGCACTCTTCTTCACTCTTTGTTCAGCGTATTGTAGCTTGCATTCAACGCCTGTTTTCGTTGCTCGTCGGTGCACTGGATAATCTTTTGTTTCACAATCCTTCTCTCTTCTATTAGTTTCCAAGTGTCCATAGTGAGAAAATGTTTGTCCTGTCTCTTCTTTCTGCCTAGAATTTCCATGCAGGTTTGACTCCACACCTTTTTTAAATTGTGCCAGTACTTTTCGACGCCGACCTATTCGCTAGTGTTGATTTGTGTCTCGGCTTTGTCGCTTACGCTTGCAATGAAGATGTCCTTTGTATCTTGGTCCTTGAGTTTTTGAGTGTTGAACTTGGCTTGTGGTCTATGTATCCAAAGATATATATATATATATATATATATATATATATATAAGGAGAAAAATTGTTGCAATATGTACAAATGCTGAAAATTCCATTTTTGATAATTACCTTTTGGAATAAAATGATTAATTTAGGTGACAGTAAGGATCTAAATGTCTATCATTTAGTTTCAGGAGTAAGAGTTACTAAATAGGGCTAAAAATAGGATTTAAATTTAGGATTTAGCTCTACGCACTTATTCTGGATTAAATCCACTTCGTATTTGATGAAGAGCAGGAGTTATCAACAGTTAACTGTATTTCTCCATTGTACCCACAATAAAATTTACGCAAACTCAGACTGATCATTCAGGATCATTCGTGATTTCTTGTGGTTTAGATGATTACTATTCAACTTTTGTGGAAAACTAAGGAGAAATATACAGGCAGTGATACTCTGTTTTGGTTGATGATAACTAGCAGTGGTATAGAGGATTTGCGCATTTTGCCCTATTTGCCGCGACCCACAAGATCGACAAACCTACATTCCCACTGAGACACCTATCATTTTAATTTCAAAAGCCAAACCATTATCTACCAGGCTACAAGAACTTGTTCTAGACAATGAAAACAGAAACCCGGTGGGTGCGTACTGATGAAGAGTCCCAAACTAGGACGAAACGACTGTCCAATACTCCCAGGTTCTCCAATGGTTCTCTAACTAATGTCAGCTCATGATGAGATCCTGAAACCTTTGAAGAGATAAAAAGTAATTTATAAGTATTCCCATACTGAGTCATAAGAAAAAGGAACAAACAGCGAAGAAAACTTTCCCTTTTCGACGATTCATTTTCATGAGCAGCTGTACAATCGTAATTATAATTAGCAAAGAAATCTTTAGACCAATCAGATAACTGGCAAACTTTGTCCTTGAAAATTGTAGTACATAATGTAAGGTGTAAGAAGGGATGACTAATTGTTGTAAGTTAGGAAGGAGATAGAAGTTGGTATGTCTTAACAGGTGTGAGATAATGACTAATAATGACTAGTTCCTGTCCATTCTACACGAGCTTCATGCATTTATTCCCCTTGATGAATTTGAATAAAGTAAGAACAACAGTGATTTGTGCAGAATAATATGGTACCATCATTTATTTCGTTGGCTTCTCATCAGCTGCTTACAGCCTAAATAAATTATGAGGTTTAAGTGCAGAAACGTTTTAACATACTTGCAAATTTTACATGATTTCAGTTGTATCTTTGAGGATAGCTGCTTTTTTTCAGGACTAACATACATTAACAAATATGGAAGATGTGAAGGCCCAAATACCAAACAAAGCCTGTCTTCATTCAACTAGATTTTAAAAGTGAAGACATTGTAGGAATGGTCAACAGAAGACTGAGAACGTCACTAGCCAGATCCCATCCTGCAGCCAAGTTGGTTCCCGTCCATCGAACAACATGCTCTTTGGTGCAGCCAAAAGTCGATAGATACTCTTCTCATGTTAACTCCAACTGTGTATACAAATTTACGTGTATCTGCGGGAGCAGTTACATTGGGAGAACAGAAAGAAGGGCACACCTCCGATTTTCTGAACATGTGCCGAAAAGCCTACATCTCAAGGAAACAAACTCTTATAGTAGCGCTATTACCACACATCTCCTCGACATGGGTCATGAGGTGGAAATCGAGAAATCCTTCAAAATTATCAACAGACAAAGGAGCTCCATTCTCCTCAAGATTGCCGAAGCGACTGCCATGAAATGCTTGAAACCAGATTTATGTGTTCAGAAAGAAGCAGTTATTTGTCTTCCCTTGCCTTGGTAACTGGATGTCTTTTTTCTCTCATCTGTTTACGTATTCTTTGTCTTTAAACTCACACTCCTTTTATAATCTGTAATTTTGCCTGTCTCTTGTTTCTCTGATTCAAGTTTAACTCAGTACATTGTTACCTAACTTATTAGTCACTATGCATCTAACACACACATCTCATCTTTATTATGTAACCCCTTTACCATTATATGCATACATTTATTTTGTTTAAACTTGAACTGCCTGTGTAAAAACCATATAAGCGCAATCTTCTGAGCACTGTTTACTAATTGTGGAACTTTCTGTCAACTGACAACATGTAAAATTTGCAAGTATGTTAAAACGTTTCTGCACTTAAACCTCATAATTTATTTAAGCTGTAAGCAGCTGATGAGAAGCCAACGAAATAAATGATGGTACCATATTATTCTGCACAAATCACTGTTGTTCTTACTTTATTCAAATTCATCAAGGGGAATAAATGCATGAAGCTCGTGTAGAATGGACAGGAACTAGTCATTATTAGTCATTATCTCACACCTGTTAAGACATACCAACTTCTATCTCCTTCCTAACTTACAACAATTAGTCATCCCTTCTTACACCTTACATTATGCACTACAATTTTCAAGGACAAAGTTTGCCAGCTATCTGATTGGTCTAAAGATTTCTTTGCTGATTATAATTACGACTGTACAGCTGCTCATGAAAATGAATCGTCGAAAAGGGAAAATTTTCTTCGCTGTTTGTGCTTTTTTTAATAAGTATTCGTAGAAACAGAAGAACATTACTTACTGCAATAACAACACCATATCTTCGTCTAAGTAATTCTTTACCATATCGACTCATTAAATCATAACTGATTATGGTGATTGGTGGGGGATTAAATGAATTCGAATCTGTGACAATATCTTTACCAGAGTTAACAACAGTAATATGCGTTAAATTTAAATTTAAAGCTTTACCAAGCCAACGAATAATTTGATCTCTCCATGAAAATCGTACAGACGATGGAGCAATAATTAATAATGGCCATTCAGAGTAATAAGCGAATGCAATAGCTAACGATTGAATAGTTTTACCGAGACCCATATCATCAGCTAATAATATTCGTCCAGATCTTTTTAACGCTAAGCTGAAATAGAACAGGGAGGGAATAGTAGACCAGAGATTATGAAATTTTATTTTTTTCAAAATAGGCAAAGAAAACAGACAACAGGTAAAAAAAGAAACTGCTTTCGATATTAGGACAGTCAACTATCATCTATTGACGTTCATAGGCAGTTCAGTGGTGGAGCACTTGCAAAAATCACTCGCATGGTGTGGGATTCGATCCCTAAACATGGTTTGACCAGTCAATGAAATCTACAACAGTTGGTCTAAGCCACGTAGGAAGCTGTAGACTTCCTGACTGGTTGGGGTTGGAAACAATTGGTGACATGGCTCAAAATCGTTCTCAATGGCTGGTGGAGATGCACCCACTCCTTGTGTCTAATAATTTCCAATGAAACTGTTTTGTTCTTCGTTATTACTCTTCCTTTGTCTCACACCTCTACTTACTGTCTCTATTATGCATTTCTTCTACTTTCTTCTGTTGCTTTGTGTGCTACATGGAGTGTGGCGACTTGAACTGCCGCACATATGTGCATAGTTCTATGTTGGAAACAGACAGACATTCTCGTTCAGCACACTCCTTAACTTCGCCTGGCTTACAAGCCGGTAGTGGGCCGGAAAAAGTGCGAACGTTAAGGGTATGAGGCTAGCAATGCCATCCCGTAAAGACAATACCACCTCTACTGAAATTGTATTGCTTGAATGCCTATGTTAAACTGAGAATGCAAAGCAACGGGAAAAAGAGCACGTGCTAGATACAGTAAGCATTCTATTTCAGATATCTTCACCGATATTTTAAAAAGTGGTTGGAATACACATCATAGATGTCTAATCAAAGCCCAAAATGATACGGTATGTCAGCCAAAGAGGGATATTGCATAGAATAATCCACAACACCGTCAAAATAAAGCATGACACCAAAGTCTATGACTACTGGTTTGAACTGTGTAAAACTTTCAGACATCATGAGTACTTCCATGTAGCACGAACTCAACCATGCCCATTCTCAAAGAATTGGTGATACTAGATGGTAACTTTGTAAGGTAGTAGAATTCACCTGAGCATGGTGAACATGTGTCTAAAAAACTCCTTCTCGACCCATTTAATTAGAATCTATTAAAATTATTGTTAAAAACCAAGATTACGATGCAATTTTGCTGTTTCGAAGTTCCAGTTATAGGATAATTGATTAAAAGGCATCAACAACAATGTTGCATGAGTACTATTCAGTTATTCCAGTAAAATAAACTACGGAGAAATTGATTCATGGAGTGCCACTGAAACTGAAATGAGACGAAATAACTATCAACCAGTAAAGTAGATTTCATCAGGAACCCAAAAGCAATTGGAGAAGCATTGAAAACCAGAGAGCATGGAACAACTGTTTCATCCTGATTTTGAAGCTCTTCAGCAATAATCACCCTTAACTTCAACAGTGATCGAACCCACGACCTTTAGCCTAGGAGGAAATAACATTTACCTCTCAGTTAACTGAGTCCGAAGACAACCTCTGTCAATCAGCAATACAGGCAACGTACAGCTGAAAGGTATCGAACCATGATTATACAGTTATTCAGTGCTTCTTTGAATGACACTGGCTTGCGATGAAATCTCCCGGCTGATAGCTGCTACCTTGACGTGGTGGTCAGGCTTGCACATCACAATGACCCAACAAGCTAGACTGGCTGGAACTATTGTTCGTGCAGGTTCTACCCTGCCAGGAAGGTCGTTAGGATAGCGATTAGACTAAAAGCAGTTATCGGAATTGTCAGAATCTTTTTTTACACTATGCTGGGGTTCTGCGGGCGAAGTTCTACTGCTAGGGAACAGGGGTGTAACTGCAGTGAGATGTTTCCTTCAGATGACCCTCAGATGCTGTCTCTCCGCTCTGGACAGAGAGGGTTAGAAAAGGTCGACCCCAACAATTGTACATCCCGACTTACCCCAACGGCAGTAAATTTACTAATACGGAACCAACCCAAGAAACCAGTTCACACAGGCGGTGTGTGAGGAACCCCAGGCAGTTGTCCCCTAGGCTCTGCGATTACACAACACTAACTCTCTTTTCGTTTCAGGTACCCGAAGAATCAACCAACTTACACAGTGTGGGTGGCCGGGAAGTAACAACTGTCCACACACTTCCAAAGGCACATGAAGCTTTCCTAAGCATCATTCTCCACTACCCACAACACCTACATCATCTTACTCCCTCTAATACAGTTAGTACTATTCTTCAGACTAGTGAGTCATCTTCACTTCACTCTGTGTCCACAAACAAAGGTGGGAGCCATAGAGACATCCCAGATAGCCTTTTAAAGCTACGTCGCCAACTTCATATAGGAGCTGTTAACATCAGGACCCTCTGCCAAATCGGACAACAGGCATCACTAGCAAGAACTGGCATTTCGAGCCATGGATGTATGTTGTGTTTCGAAGACACGCATACAAGACCCGAGTGTGGTCATTCACTTGACCTTACCCGGTCAACACGGTGAATCTGCAAAATTCACTTTAAGGCTGTCAGGAGACCCCTCAGCTAGCTCGCGAGGACTCGCAGGTGTAGCGATAGCACTGAGTGTTAGGGCGAAAAAATCACTTCTTGACTGGATCCCAGTAAATATTCGTATGTGTGCGGTCCGTCTGAATGGGTCCGTTAAAAGAAGGAAAGACGGCGCTACCTGCCGTTACCTTTTCGTAGTCTCCGCTTACACCCCAACAGACTGCAGTTCGGATGAACTAAAAGATGACTTCTACCTGAAACTGTCTAATTTGCTGTAAAAAGCAAAACGTTCAGATATAGTTGTTTTGGCAGGCGACTTCAATGCCCAAGTAGGGAAGTTGTGCCAAACTGAGAAGTATGTAGGTGGTACTTATGGAGTTCACTGCCGACGAACCGACAACGGTGACCGCCTCCTACATTTCTGTTCAGATAATCATATGTTCCTAGTCAGCACTAACTTTAGGCACAAAGAGAGACAGTGTGTGACCTGGCCACCTCCATCACCAAATCAACGCTGGACTCAGATAGACCACATAGCCATAGGTTATCGTTGGCAGGGGTCAGCAGAAGACTGTCGCTCCTTCTGGAACACGTGCGTAGACTCCGATCACGCTTTGTTCCGCGCACGTTTATGCTGACGACTAAATGGATATAAGAAATTGACGGCAGCGAAACAGTTACGTCCCCAACCAGATCGAAACACTGAATCACTATTTAGGGAGGAAATAGAGAAACGAGTGTCAGAGGTCGACAGCAGGGCTTCCCGTGAGGTAGCCTGGCACAACATACAGTTAGCTGTAGACACAGTTGTGAAAGCTGTTAATAACCTGAGACCAAAAGTTAATAAGAGCCATTTGATCTCTACCATCTCATCCGAACTGATTCAGACAAGAACACTGATTTCACCGAGTTCCGAATATGATGAGGAGCGAAAGCTGCTCAAACGCAAACTAACAAGAAGCTTTCGTAACGACCGTGAACAGTGGTGGGCGGAAAAACGAAAGAGATGGAGAAGGCATCGGTGATAGGTAAAACCAGACAAATATTTAGACTTATCAGGGAATCAGATGGTAAAAGGTAAACGATAAATGGAAAAATCTCTGAGAAAAATGGAATCATCATAACTAGCTCCCAAAACAGACGACTAGGATGTTGGAAAGAACACTTTGAAAAGCGATTCAATTGGCCTATAGCCACGCTCAACTTACCAAACATCCAACACCTCCCTGAATGGGATATAGACACAGGTCCTCCGTTCCTAACTGAGGTTACTAAAGCTGTAACTAGTCTGAAACGAGGCAAAGCTGCGGAACCTGATGGAATGACTCCAGAGGTGTTTAAGTGCGGCGGAAACAGTTTACTGACTGCATTAACTAAGGTATTAGGCAGCGTCTGGGAATCAGAGGAAGTCCCGTCGAGTTGATGTAAGTCATTGGTAATCCCGATACACAAGAGGGGAAACATGTCTTGCTGTTATAATCACAGGGGAAATGGCTTGACCAATATGGTATCTAAAGTTCCAGGCTCCATATTAAGCTCAATAAGCCCCAGAAGAACAACGAAAGCTTTCCAATTATTCTATTCACCTCAGATGACACAATATTATATAAGATGACTGCTTAAACTCCTTTAACATCTACAAAAAAGAATACTCTAAAAGACGACTATTTTAAAGTTGAAACTATTAAAATCATTTTGAGTAGTCACAAAACCTTAGCACAACTAATTTATTCAGCTGAGAAAATGTAAAACCAGGGAGTGAAAAAGCATCTCTCGTCAATTAAGCCAGAATAAGTTAAACACTCCTGAGTATATCAAAGTGAAATGATAAAAAAAGCAAACAAAAAGAATATAAGTAAATTACCATACACCGTCTTTCTGAAATGGAAACATAGCAGCCAACAGGTCATCTGGTATTCTGTCCTTCAGCATATCATGATCAATATCAGTGTTATTTTTATTGTTACTTAAATTATTCCCTTCTGGTTTCGTTGAAAGTTCATTACGAAAAATCTGTAAAAGCCAATAAAAGGATAAATCAAAACAAATTTTAAAATTTCCTGAACACACACACACACAAAAGTACAAGTATTCTTTACCTCAAAAATAGGCAAATACGCATATATGTGTACATACATACATAAACTTACTTTGAGGACAGCATATGGAAGTCCTTCTAAATGCAATTCATCAATAGCATTGACTTTGGCAACTGAAGGAAAAGAGATTAATTATGTGAGAATTCATCTAACCCACCAAAGTCATGATACTCGGATAAGTCGAATGACCATCTTCTGGTCTGAGAATCTATTTATAATAGGGAAAAAATGGACAGGAAAGAATAATATATTTGTGTTAAAAACAGTTTATCTTTATCAGCAATTTACTGAATATGATAATGCACGACCCAGTTATCTAGATAACGAAATTATTATTTACAGTTATTATTATTACCACAATGTGTCGGTGGCACAGCGGTAGAATGCTCGCCAACCACGCAGATACTTCGGGGTTTGACTCCCGGCCACAGATGCACTCCTTTACCTCACTAAGCCAGTCTCTCTGTCCGTCTGTCTATCTGGATTCAACATAGAACTTGGCACCAAAGTGCAGAAGTTCGAGTTGCCACGTTCCAAATAGCACACAAAGGTAGACAAGAAGATGAGTGAAGAGAATCAATAGAGTTTGACAAGTATAAGAGTGAAACAGAATGGGTAATGGTAGAAAGAAATATGGAAGATTACAGCGACTGAATACATCTGCCTCATTGACAACAATTTTGCGCCATGTCACCTATTGTCTCCAGCCATTGATTCTTAGAGTCCCGAGGGCCCCGACCCGGAAGTCTGCATCTCCCTACCTGATTCAGTTCAACTGTCAAGGATTCCATGGATTGATACCATGTTTTTGTGTGGCCACCACTTACTCTTTTCCAACCAGTATTAAGACTGGTAACGACTGAGGCGCCATCAGAATGGTGTATACGAAGTCTACTCAGGGGAGGTGCAATTCTAAACCAGTGGTACACACTAATACTATGTTTCAGAATGAATGGACAGTACATGAACGTGTACTCATTACTAACAACCTTATTAAAATAGCACCTTGACTCTTTTTATAAGGAAAACGTATGGTGCACTCTCAACAAGAATATAAGCATCTCATCAAGTGCAAAAACAAGTGATATAAGTAGGATAAAGGTCAGCGATACGGAAACTCTGTCAACCACTAATCAATCAAGTTTAACGCAGCTTTGTAGTAAAATGACGAAAGCAGACAAGCATTTTCTAGTTAACCTTTCATAAGAATATCGGTACAAACCGGTCCTAAAGCAACACAATTCGCATTTAGATCCGAAATTAACGCAAACATCTCCATTATGGATAAAATTTACTTTGATAAAGTCTCACAGTGTTATACAGTAATATTTACTGATGACGACGTTTCGAGCATAATTTATTGTCACTCATAATCATATCAAGGTACTCACACAAAGTTCTAACTTCGTTTATATAGTCCCATTATTTCTCGCCACTTGACTTGATTGGTAGTAGTATTTTCTATATTTCCTGCATGAGTGATGAGTCATTCCTATTGCATGTTTTGGGTGTAGACTCGATGAACAAGTAATTCAGTCATTAATCTCTCTCTCCACCTACCTAGATGACTTCTTAGAATCTTTACCCTCTCTGACCCTATTGTGTGGTTGTGTTTTAATGCATGCATGCTGCGCAATCGCTGAGCCTTTCTCTCAATTACTTATCTTCTCGGGGTCAACCAATTAGACAAAGTAATGTATTTTTCTAATTTTTTTATTTTTTTTAATTTTTGATTACAGCTTGATTCCACACTGTATTTTTCGTACAAGTATGGAATTTTCAGCCTGGATATCGGTAGCCCAAATTTTTCAGGCCGACCATAGATATCAGGTGTGCGTCGCCAGGGGATCGAACCTCGGACCATGTGCATGGTCGGCGAGAGTCCTGACCACTGTGCCACCGACACACAAAATACCTTGCAGCGACTGTGAGTTAAGTCAACTAAATAGGTCAAACTAGAAGATTGAGGGTAGTCAGAAAGTTGGGACATAAGAATTTAGCCAAGGTTAGAATGCTTGACCCCACGAAGATAAGTAATTGAGGAAAAAGCTCAGCGATTGCACAGCATGCATGCATTAAAACACAACCACACGATAGGGTCAGAGAGGGTAAAGATTCTAAGAAGTCATCTAGGTAGGTGGAGAGAGAGGTTGATAACTGAATACTTGTTCATCGAGTCTACACCCAACACGTGCAATAGGAATGGAAAATACTACTACCAATCAAGTCAAGTGGCGAAAAATAATGGGACTATATAAACGAAGTTAGAACGTTGTGTGAGTACCTTGATATGATTATGAATGAAAATAAATTGTGCTCGAAACGTCGTCATCAATAAATACTACTGTATAACGCTGTGAGACTTTATCAAAATAAATTTTACCCACAATGGAAATATACCCTACCACAGTGCACAAGTTCTGTTCTTATATCAACCCAAACATCTCCAAAACTGTGATTGTATACAGACAACTCTGGATGGTGTTAGTGTCTTCGGCGAGAAGAGTACACTCTAGCGTTTACTCATCTTCTGTGAGGAGATTAATCTGCATGAAACTGATAAATCCCTTGTGTCCTACAATGTATACCGCAGTGGAACGATTGTTACTCTTCACAAGCCTGGCTCCATGACCTATATGGTGATAATTTAGTCTATCTAAACGGTATTAAATTATTCGAACAAGATCGGTGTAACTCTGAACAGAAATGTGGCAATGGCGTTGCAACCTTCATTAATACTCAATGGTGTACTTCCAATAATGAATGTTTTAGATTCTCAAATGACAGTATCGACTGCACCACTGTTAAATGTCAGCCAAAACGCCTATCGAAATATAACTACATATGCATTTCAAACAATTATATTGCACCTTGATGTAGTCCGCCAAAACTATCTTCATTTGCTGGCAAATTCACCTCCTGTACTGTGGCAACTCGAACTGCTGCACTTCAGTGCCAAGTTCTATGTTGAATCCAGACAGACAGACAGACAGACAGACCTCCTGTACTGTCACCTATCTTGGTATCTCGTTGTCAATAGTTACTGGAGATTTCAGTTCGTGTGACTATAGCATTAGGTCATGAAAATATTGTCAACTTCTAAACAAGACTAGAAAATACTCTTGATCTAGTGTTTACAAATAACTTCAACATATTTGAAGCTTAGAAAAGAGCCCCACTACTTTATTTTAACCATTGTTTTATATGTATACTGACCAAAATATACGGAAAGCTGCACAAAAAGGCATTCTTGCATCTTGCCAATAAAACACAACATAGATGTTATTTCCATGACAGTATACAGAAACTAAGAAGCATGTTAAAAGATACAAACTGGGACTTATTTACTGAACAAGTTCTAGATGACACAAATACAAATGTAACATGTTACCTCCAATTCTAACTTGATGTTTGTTTTCAAAAAGGGACACTCTTCGTAAGATTTGATCGCTTCCTTTAGATGCCACTGTTTTCTTAGATCACAATATTGTGATTTATCAAAATAAAATCTTATCCATAATGGAGTTACACTCTACCACAGTGCCCGGGTTTTATACTTATATCGATAACACAATATTGTCTCTAGTCTAGACAGAGGTGTCAAATATGTTCGGTGTGCTTTCCTAGATTACACATCTGCCTTTGACCATGCACCTAGGCCTCTTTTGTTAAACAAGCTTGTTGCAACACAAGCACAGCGCTGCAGAGGTTGCATTTCTATTCGTCTGAAAGGAAGTAATACACTGTTTGCAATGGGGAGTCTCCCATTACTTCACTTACTCTAAATGGTGTTCCTCAGGGAAATGTTATTTCTCTTTTTCTGTTTTCCTTCTGCTTACAAGACTCCCCCATTCAGACGAAGCCAGTTTTGTTAAGTATTTCGATGATGTGACTGTTCCGATGCCTGTAACTTCTCAGCCAGACTGTTTCAAAATGAATAACTTTTTATCAGAAATTAGTCAGTGGTCTTAGTCAAATGGTCTTAAGCTTAATCCTTCCAAATGTCAGGTTCATAATCTCACTTTCAGACCCAAGCGCGACTTACATGAACTGGTTAGTTCTCGTGAATCACAGATGACCCTGAAGCTGAGACCAAATCCAATGTTAAATACCTTGGACTGCGCATTTCCTATGTTCACCTTCCTATTCTTCCCACATCCTGTCAGTTCCCAGAAAGATGTTTCATTTGACATTCTAAGTAAGGAAGTTAAGACAATCTGGTATTATTCTGTCTCTACTGTCAGCATTTGTTAATTCTTGTATTCTGCCTATACTTCTTTACTTCTCACCCTAAATCTTTCCCAGACTGCTTAAGAAAGACTTTATTATACTGCGTAGGACACTAAAAGCTGTCAGTAGTGGAGTGTTGCTAAACCAACTCGCTAATACTATTGTAGATAGAAACATGGACTCCTGTAAGAAATTAACAAATATTACCTTGTTAGACTCTTAGCATCCTCTCTATACACAACTCTCGCCTTCCATCTTACAAGGTAGAACTAGAAGTAACTCTAGAAGACTATGCTCAGACGACTAGGTAAGAAAAATTCTACAATGCCTTATTTGGCACAGTTTATATGATGAGGAAATTGTAAGGCATGATACTATTAACTTACTAAGAAACACTAAGTAAACGGCTTTTTTCATCATTATATTGTTAAAATTTTTATCTGACTTTATATTTTGCATTATTTGATGGTATGATCAGTGCAAATGTCCTGTTTTAATTATTACCTCTGTAATGAGGAAGTTAGATGCAATCCTGTGTTACATGCTGAAAATTCTATGTCTGTACCAAAAGTACTGTTTGGAATAAAGCTATTATTATTATTATTAAAATAGAATCATCATCCCAATGATGACGTCTATAACAAAGGCAAGCAAAACGAGGTAAAACTGACGAAAATAAAACAACTTACCATACTGTTTTGAAGCCATAGTTTTAAATAATTGAGTCAATCCATTATGATATCTTGCATATACTTCAAACCTTTTAGGTGAACATAATGTACAAAGTACATTCACTAGGTTATTCTTTGTATTGACAACATCATTAAGTGGAAGAGAATTTTTTGAGGGAAATGTATTGGTATTGGATTTCGGTATGACAGTCTGTTTAACTTGTGAAATTTGTTGCTTGATAGGATGTGAAGCAACTTTTGCAATCGTTGGTTGACTAGGGAGGAGACAAAATCATGTTTTAAAAAAACATCTTTAAGAAACTTACACAATTTAAATGAAAATAATACCGAATTCAATTAAGGAATGTATTCTAGTCTTTCAGTTTCCTAAGCTTTTAATTAACAGATACAACATCTATGAAGAATAACTATGGTTTCAAAGAAAAATGAGTGGAATTATGGCACTCGACTTCAAGACAAGTAGGTCTCGCGTACTAATCCCCTCCCATCTACACAGGTTTGCAAAGCTATGTAGTATCATTAATCCTCACACAACAAATGTGGCTCTTTGTCTTTTGGATGGAAAACAAACTGAACTGTCTTTTTATCATTTGTAGATTATCAAATCCAAATTTAGGGGATTTAAGGAGAAAGTCTAAAGTCTTCAATCCTTATTATTAGTAAGTTAATAGTCAGTTGAAGTTGGGAAAAATCTCTATTGTTGAGTTACAAGCCAATTATTAAACCGACTACTACTACTAACTGAATGACTGAAATTCAACAGTGAACTTTGAAAGAAGTGCAGTAGTTCTAATTGCCACACTCTATTTACCACACAAAGGTAAAAAAAGAGAAAACTTAGATTAAATAATAATAATAATTGTTATTATACGCAGAAATGTGAGGGGAAGGATAAGAACATGGAAAACGAGAAAGTTTAGTCGATAAAGAGTATCACAGAGAGTCAATGCATCTGCGCCCCTGAAAACGATTTTGAGCCATATCTCCAATAGTCATCATCCCGGAGACACCAACCAGGCAGTCTGCACCACCCTACATAGCTGTCTCTTGCTAAATTTCAAAGACTCAATAGACCGATTGCAGCTTTTTAAATCCTTTCCAAACAATTTTGCAATCTAATCCAATGTCACCTAACATTGGCTGTCGAGGAAAGCAATGGCTCCGGTATACGCATCACTTGTCCCAGACATATCAATCGATGTGGTTTCACAACCTCACCAGTTGATTTACCCTTCTTACCTTCCACTCTGCAGCTAATCTGAGTATTATTCACCATACTATACCACTTAAAATGTAAAGTAGAATGCAAACATCTGTGGTCAAAGACAGTTAGCCTTTTCATATCTTCCACTTATAATGGCCATGACTCAGTCATAAAACAGAATAGAGCGAACTTGTGTGCAGTACACACATCCTTTGATGGATAGCTGCATACCATGGCTACGCCAGAGTTGACGTTAGTTAAACCAACCACTACATAGTTATATCACGAATATCTATTTATTCATATGCTTGCTCAAAATAGAATATGCACCATAGTGCACTGATAGCTGCTGTCAAGATTGAAATAATACATAGTGACTAGACAAAATATACAATAGTACTACAATCGGAAAACTTTTACCGCTATACATCCGACTCATGCAGCCACCTTGTCAGTGAGAACAGAAATTATGAGTTACTCAAAAGAGAGAGAAATCTCATAAAGAAAAAGTTCAAGGTGAGCTAGAATGAGGTACTCATTACATTCATAAATCTGTCATAGTTTGTGAAGTATACAAAGGGAGTATACAGGGAAGAAATTAAGAAGGAACGCATCACTGTAAAACATTTCCGAGGTAGATCAGTTCAAGCCTCTTCAGCAACAACACAGAAATAAGTGGAAAACAACAAAAGTCTACAAAGGTATGGATGAAATAATACATAATCTAACAATATTTGGTGGGAATATTTAAATGTAGAATAATATATTACACGAAGTTTCTTTCACATAAGATAAAACAGTCCCACTACTATGTTTAGGTTTTAAGAAATATCTGCACTCTATCTTGATTACAGGAGTAGACACAAGTAAACAAATATGTCTTTTCAACTAAGTTATCCCTGATTCCTACAACCCTTTTATGATCGGTAATGAAAGAAATCAAAAAAGAGAACGCATAAATCAGTTCACAGTAGGCTTCCAATCTATCAAAACTATCTTAGATGACAAACTGTAGTCACAAATACTGAATGGTACGATATTCAATACTAATCGCCAGTACGATAACTGTAGCTTTTCAGTATCTTCAAAGTATCACTGATTAGCTTCTCCCAGAATTATATATTTCTAAGTAATGTAACGATTGAAGCACGATTGTAAGGTGTTACATCTTACAAATTACACAACTCTGAAACTATCTAATATTTAGCATCGCAACAAGGCTGATAAAAATTAAAATCCAAAAACCCTTATAGTCATAAACAGCAAGTGACACTAAGAAGCGCTTAGGAAAGCAAAATGGGAAAGTTTATGCTGGAAACATAGCAATGCACGTACTATTCAATTGATGAGAATCAGTTTATACATCCCAGGATTGAGAATAGTGCGGTTTGTCTCAAAACGAATTTGTTGGTATAAATGTTTACCTTTACAGTTCATCTAACCTGAGATACATTAGTTACAGCTAAACAAATCCCATTATAGCAAAACCCTAACCATTAGATAGCACGAGTGAATACAGACTAATACGAATTTTCAAAATCTACTCTGTGCAAAGATATGCCCACATGACAAGTTGAAGGATAGGATATTGGATAGTAGTATATCTCTCTACTGATCTATTAAAAATACCTTACATATTCATCTAATTTTGAAAAGTATGAAAATGCCAACCAACAAAGACGGTCCTACTTAATAAATAACTGAATCTGCATAGAAGCAGTTACACTTATTCGACTGCTTCGGGCAGTCTTAATCTTGAAGCATGAAGTCACCAATCTTGAGTCGATGAGTTACAGAAGCAACAACCTACAAATTTGATGTACAAAAGTAAGATTAAAATTCAGTTAGCCTATTGTCACCGGAAATGTTGACGCATAGCCTAGATTACATTCCAATGCGTTTTATCATCGTTATTAGTACTTATGTTCCGAAACACTTATGCTGTCACAATAAAGAACAACTGAAGTAAAAGTTGAGGTGGACCATACATAAAATGAAACCAATCACTGAAATGTCTGACTGCTGATCAGGCAAAACCCCGACGGAGGTCTTCAGAATACGAACAAGAGTTAAGACCTCGTTTGAAATGGCGCAGACGTTTCTTTATCATTTACTTTTATCTTCTAGTACACTCAGGTTTCTTTATTATACTACCAATCTATGTCGCTTCACTTCACTTCTATACTGTAAGTGATACAACCGTGTGAAACCTCTTACGTCACGACTATTTGTGACACTAGTTCAGAACAAACGTCCTCAGCCTTTTAATAACCAGTCCACACAGCTACTTAGAAACAATCCATTTCTACTGTTTAAAATATGACATGTATTTACAGATAATTACATTTTCCAGGGCCAGTAATTATTATGCCCACAATCATAACTGTGAACAGGTTCGCAAGTGAAGAGAATTTCGGGAAAGGCAAACGGTGCAGTATACGGTCAGCTGTCAAAATTACATATACAAATCACCAGAAATCCTCAGTTTATTTCTAGAAGTACGGACAGGTATAGTAATAAAAACCTAAACTCACCTAGTATTCGTCCAGCCTCTTGCCATACGTATGAAGTCTTGGCCAAGCTTTGCAGCCTGTGTAACACCGCGTTCACTTTGGTGAGGCAAAGACTGTCTAATAGGCATATTCTGTTTATTAACTATGGGTACTGAGCTAGTAGTCCCGCTCTGAGCATGTCGGTTACGGGACTCAAGGGCTTTTCTTCTTTTAGCTTCGATAAGCTGGCGCTCTTCTGCAGACAACGCTTCAGAACTCATGTTCCCTGAAGACAGTAAAACGTTTCAATTATGAATAATTTACAGTTATCTTTGAAAGAAGACGAATTTTAAAGAAAGAACGTTTATTTTGTTTACAATTTATGTAAAAACAACAGAATGTAACATAGCACCCAAACACTGAGTAATGTTGGAGGTCATTAGTTCATCCACATGTTCTCCCAAATGTCGTTTCGGATCCTAATGAGAAAACCATAAACAATTAGTACAACCTTACCATTTTCCCAACATTTTTAATAGCTAACTGTTCAGGAGTCATCTTCTCCTCATCTTCAAGTGACTAAAAATAATGAATGATACTGAACTCAACAAACCTTATTGTATGACTTGACAAGGTCCAACATAGTCTGTAGCGTTTTGTGATTGGCAGTGCAGTGAGTGTTGTAATCCTCCAAGGTAAGACCATCTCTCCATGTACGTTTATTCAAATTCATCAGCATCTAGGCAAATCAGTGGTAAGCACTTAAGACTCACCTTGATCTCCCACTTATTTTTACGGTAATTGATAGGTAGAGAGTAATAATGTCTATTCAGACCATGAATAAGAGCTTGAATTGTGGGTTTACTAAGATGACCAACATTTGAGGTGGTTTGTCTAGGCTCCTGATTAGTAATGACAAGGTTCGGGTTGATTAAACGGAACGCATCAATAACAACCTAAGAAAAAAAAACTGAAAGGAGGTAACCATTACTTTTCCCTTCACGCTCTGTATGGGATCCACAACAACAGCAACTGCGCGATCAGAAAGAGCTTCAAAACTTTGTTGCGTATTCATGTCAACTCCAGACAACCAACACCCGAACCCTGGATGTGAGTGGTACCAGCCAACAACCATTTCAGGACTAAAATTAGATAAATCTAAGAGAGAAGTACCGGCCAGTTTGTCTGAGCATATCCAACATTTTAGCCTGAAAAACGGGGTCCACAGCCTCTACGCTAACACCTGTCCCCGACTGAGGCATTGCGAAAACGTCCACGACAGTGACAGTATAGTCATCAACGAATTCACCCAACATCAGGCCCATAACCTCCATTGGGACTCCTGCCCTACCGTGTTTGAGCATCTTTAGCAGTGCAAGACTGCTTATATACACTTGCTCAGCGGTGTCTGGAACAGGGCCATCCGTCGGCTGAGCGTTTGACTGCCCTAAAGCAGCCAAACCATCAGCACCAAGTCGGAGAAGACGGTCCATAATATCGAACACTATTACTCAGAGGCAAATATTAAGACACGCGGGAGTCTGAAGGTCATGCTTGGCGACCTTGTGACGAAAATGTCCCAAATTTCTTTTGCGATATTTAATTTAATAATTTAATTTCTACATCTATTGAAGACACAATATTTATCATAAAATGTGAATGACGAAAATTATAAATATACGGAAACAATACATCAAATATTTATTTTACGCCAAACTCTGGACGATAACATCGGGTAGTAATATGTAACTCTTAGCTCCCTAATGCTAAACTATTCAAAGACACCAGGGTAAATATGTCTAAATGCCAGAATACCCACCATCCCCTGTCGTCCGCATGACTGAGCAACATGTCTTAAGCTGTCAACCGTACATCTGTGCAGATATGTTTATCATCAAAAATGACTACACATTGAGCTTTTAGTATTAGCTGCAGCAGATAAATTCCACAGGTAAATAATCCCGGTTCCAAATGCAATATATTCCGTCACATGCTTTCTAAACATTCACTATAATGACCAGGAGCAGTAGAAATTAAGTACATTAAAACATCACACTAATTGCTATTCTGTGCATGATATAAGAAATACAACCAATCCTTACACCTTGGCATGCCCTCAGCAAAACACTGATATATGTAAGACAATTGATCAGGGACGCAGGCTATCACAACTAATTCAGCGTTCCGTTAAACAGCCTTCAGTTCTTTATCCAAATAGCAACCATGCAGCTTTGAAAACTAGTTCTAACATAGGTCAGATATAGCACTCTGGGTTTATTCTCATCAAAACACAAGTGTTCTTCAATTTTACCGGCGGGCTCTTTCAGTAAGCGTCAGTGAGTCTGATTATAATATTCCTTGGTTAAATCATTAAACAAATTAAGAAGTGATTTCCTGCTCATAGGTTCCGCTGATTTCCATCTAGCCAATTGATAATAATATTTGGTTTACTCCAAATAATACTTTTTTTATTTTATTGAATTCTCAACAAGTAGTATGGCGTTACATCTAATGCCTCGTTCTCTGTCATTGGATGGTTGGGGGCAATCGAAGGAAGCCTTGTACCTAGGTCGGGTGATTGTAGGCGCTCGTCAGAAAGTCGCATCTGCAACTTTTAAAGAACTCATATCCCTCCTGAGATCCAAAGCTGTATTACCCAGCGATGCAGTCAGTGGTAACCACTGTTCTATTCGGGCTCGCAACTGGTCTATCATATGGCCTTATTAGATACTACTATCGGACACCTGGTAATACGTAACTAACGACCAATCTAAGAGTGTCCCCTCCATATTACATAATCAGAGCAGAAATACAGACCATTTTGTTAGACAGTCTTCTTAAGTAACCCAGAAAAGAATTAGGTGAAGCAATAAGGCGGAACAGTCAAACTGCAAGAGTCAGTAAACTGCAAAAGTAACAGCTGCTATAAAGCCTAGTGTGTTAAATTCGTTAATTAGGTGGGACAAAATATTTTCCCATGGATCAACAAGATGTAGTACTAAAAAAGACCATTGGAGACACCTAGTCCAAAACATTGGCTCTTAAGTCCCGTTCATGTTACATACTGGTGGGAAACATTTGAGTCTGGAGGTATCTTTTCAGGTAGCAATGTTACTTAATATCTCCATGATTTATTCAGGATAGCTTACATATCATGGGTGGCCATCAAACCAAAAACATAATGCGAAATTAGAATTAGGGAAAGTCTTTTGATTTCCTATCAACTTATGCCCAGGACAGACTCTGTGAAGGCAGATAAGTCTGTAAAGCCATTATTTTAAACTTATATCGACATCGGTAGTGAATCAGACCGATCAAGCGGCCATGAAATTTAGCGCGTTGTTGTGTCATTAACGTCTGTGCACTGATTTCCTAGATAGCTAGACAATCATCTCAGCTTAACAGAAGTAGTAATGCGAGTGATGCTTTGTACTGAACGGCCAACTTATGGCCATTACTTTTGAACACCAACAGTTCTTAACCTAACCTTCATTTCGCCTGAGTTCAAGGTTATTGGCCTTCTGATATGATAATTCACACAACCAACTCGTAAGACCAAATCTGGCACCCATATGCGCACAAATACTGATTTTTCCTCCGTTTCGTGCCAAAGCTTAGCTCCGACTTCAGCTGAATGTCACCAGACAGTGGAGCTTACAAACATTATTCCACTTTAACGTGGTAACTAAGATACGTGGTGTCTGCACGTGGGAAGAGAATTTTACGAACTTAAAGGTAAATGCAAACAACAAACCCAAGAAGAACTATCTTATAGCCTAGAACAAACAATCAGTAGACTCCGCAATATAAAGGCGAAATTATGGATGGCATACACGAATCACGTAGCAGGTATTTAAGTACTGTTTGAACAGCAGACTCATGAGGGGGGACAGGACATGTAGATATCTAGAAGTAATGCATTTACGAAGATATACAGGCTTCATTGATGGATTTGTGTACAGATGACCAGGCTGTCGAAGCAGAAAATCCGTTCATGGGGGTGTGCCGTTTGGATGGATGGATGGATGCTGCAGATACTTTCTTCGCCAAGTCGAAGTTTCATTAGCTATGATGTGTCACGGCTGTGTCTTGAAAAGACCAGTTACAGCAGTGGCGTTCGAAAAGGAAAATCCATGGCCTACGGCAGTGGCGTCAGTGTTACATATATAACGTCTTGAGAAATGAACAATGACTCAGATATTTGGTGACACGGGTGAAAGTGTACCGATAAAAATGAATTATAACCTCTGTATACTGAATGCCAGTCAGCAACAGATTTTGGCGGTACGTTCGAAATTGGTGACATTTTTGCACGTGTTTGCTCTGAAATTTATTTACTGCTTATTGTCATATAATTCTTGAAATTATGGTCCAAATCTCTAAAAAACGTGTTCGTAGAAACACAATTGTTTTAGATAGTGGCTTAAATTCGGTTATAACTGCATTACCGTCGCGTAATACAGTATCAACTACTAGCTCTCAAAATGGTTTGAGTGCAGATCTCACTCCTGTGATACAGGTGAAAGATGTTCTGTTAGAGAACTCTGAGTTCTGTAAACTAAACCTCCTTTTGAAAGATATGCAGAGGCAAGTAAGTGAAATTCAGAAAAAATTAGATCAGTTTGATAGTATGTCACTGCCAATCTCAAATACCACGGAGAGCCGTTCTGATATTGGCCAGGTTAAGTGTTTACTGGATGTAACTCAAAATAAGCTTTTGAATTTAGACCCAATAGCCTGTCTTTTAGAAAGGCATCCTAAAATATCTCCAGACAACCTAAATAAAGCTGAAAATCTGATTGACTGCTTGGCTACGGAGGTGATGAAGCGTATAACCTCTTCTCACCAAGCTATAGTTTACAACGTCCCAGATTCTCTGCCCCTGAAAACTGTAAGACACAAAATCCTGATTTGTTGCGGCATGGCTAGTGTTCCATGTGAATGCAAACGACTTCGTAAAAAGTCTAACCAGGCTAATTGCCCAATCATTTTTAAATTCAGTAATTCCCTTGATGCTAGTAAGTTTACTAAATGTCAGGATCACTTAAGACTGAATAGCAGTTATAAGTCTATAACCGTAGCTCAGGATAAAACACCGTGTCAGCGCAGAATAATGCGTAGTAATAACCTGGTCACCTCCTCTAGCTTTGATTTACCAAAAAGGATCGTGCACAGCAACAGACACCTAGTGCTGAAACTAGCATTCAGCAAACTACACAACAAACACACCTGCCAATGGAACTAGGAACTGATTTAGATACCAGTACCCCTGTAAATAAAGCCTCATCGAAAGATGTTAAAATGACTAGAACTTCTGCAAGTTGTTCTAAGAAATTTCCCCCCAAACGTAGTAACCTCACCACGATGAACAAATTTCGCAGGGTTGAGACTAATGATGGGGAAGAATACTTTGTATTCAATAAGCCTGCTGAGAGTAAGAATGCCAACAAACCATCACTTGTTACGAAAAACTCCTCTCGAAACATAAGTGTATCTGGAGGTGTTCCGCATGCTCCACCTTATAGAAAGTCAGGCTCCAAGACTCCTAAAGTCTTGCAGCCAAAGCACCTTCCTTCACAATTCCCTTTAAGTTATAAAAACAACCCGAAGGTGTATACCGGTATGACGAATAGCAGTTGGATGGGTAGACCTTTGATGCTATGCCTTTTAACCGTCAACCTAGGCCCAACCTGTACTACCCTTATATCCAGGAACACATGGTAAATTTTCCAGGTGTCCCGAATCACTGGTACGACCCATGGCACCTAGGACCACCTCATTGCACACCAACTCCGATGTGCAGACACCCAGTCCGACCTCCTTTTCATTCATAAATTCTTGCGGTGCTGACGCACAAATAGATTTAGGTTATGGTGACATTTTAAGCCAGTTTGTAGTATCCCGTGACTTATTCACGATATTGCTAATTAATGCACGTTCCTTAATCAATAAGATATCTGAACTAAGGACATTATTATTAGTCGCCAAGCCTACTGTAGCTCTGATTACTGAGTCATGGTGCTCATCCTCTGTACTTGATGTGCATATAGGTATCGATGATTACACTGTACACCGTGCAAACAGAGATTGCAAGCGTGGTGGAGGATGTCTCATATATATACATAACTCATTTGTAGTCAGTAAGGTGGAAGATGAAACAATGAATAATGTACCTGACTCACTCTGGGTTGTCTTACATGGAGATAAGTACAAACTTCTCATAGGCTGTGTTTATCGAGCACCAAGCGCAACAAAAGAAACTGATGCGTTATTAGCTAAATCGTTTGCACACGCATCCTCGTTTAGTGCTAATTACAAAATAATTGCAGGGGACTTCAATCTTCCAGAAGTCAATTGGCTAACTAGTTCCGGCCCCCAACGCTTCGACGAATTACTTGCCACTATAGACTGTTATGGATGGCAACAACACGTCCAGACACCTACTCGTGGTGACAACATGTTGGACCTTGTTTTTTGTCATGACACAATCCCAGTATCCACGTATGTTGGTAATCGATTTTCCAGTAGTGACCATAGAATGGTACTCTGCTCTCTGCCTTTCTCACCACTAAATA